TGATTAAGATTTCTTATCAAACAGTTTTTGAGATCTTCTAATGAAAATCTACAAAGAAATTGGATTTAGAAAGAATAGGGAATTTTCTTTATATATATGAATACATACACAGATGCCACTCCAAAGATAGGTTATGGTAAGATGAGAAGCTAGGTTCGTGCAATAACTCCCTCCTGCTGAAATGGAGTCATTCTCTCCTCCTTCAGGCTGCATGCTCTTCTGTGCTGTCTTTGTGGGGGCTTTGGTACCTGGCTGACACATAAGTCACTTCAACTCACTAAGGTGGCAAAAAGCTATTCGCCTTTTCTTTTTACTTAATTGGTTTAGTAGGTTGGAGAACAAATGTTATTAATGGTGGCAGGGCCCCAAATATAGCTGAATGTCATAGCTGACAGCTTTTCTCAGCAAAACATCACTAAACCAACATGAAATGATGCTATTTTAGACTGGGACTTAACAGTTTGAGGACAGTATAGAAAAACTGGTGGTAGAAAATGATCCTAAAGTTGATTTGGGGTAAATTGTATGGAAAGAAAATAAAAAAAGCTGGTCTGTATCTAAACCTCTTGATTTCATAAGGCAAATTTTGGTAAATTAAGACACCTAGTTAACCAAGACAACAGAACTGAAGAGGTCAGAAGTTTGAAATGAAAATCATTTGCTCTTTCTTTGAGGGGCAGCTGCTAACAGAGTTCATAAAATGGATAATGAAGTAGAGAGCTTTCAGGGAAAGAGGGACTGACTAGCCGAAAAGCTTTGCTACACGTTGCTAAGCACATAGACAAGATGATATTTTCCAGAGCAGAATGAGGGAAATGGCAGCAGGTAGTACCAAACAGGAGAGTGTCAAATTGAATAGTGTCTACTAGTAGATTTCTTTGGGAGTTATTCTTGGGATTGATCTTACTTTTTGGCAAAGAAGAGAAAATAAGCTTATTGGTTCAGCTGGTTTAACAAAACTAGGCAGCATCATCAACACAGCTGCAGTGGGATGTCATATGGAAAAACAATGAATGACCTTGGTGATTGAACTAGTGGACACAAAACAAACTGCTATAACACAAAATGCAAGGTCATGCACTTGGAGGCTAAATTTTGCGGTTAATGGAGAACTTTCCCAGTAAATGAGTAGTGTAGAAAAGAACATAGGTACTACTAGAAGAGATGGTGGTTATCTAATGTACTTGTGCAAAAAGGCAACTGCATACCCAAGACTGCAATATTTCATGGAGATATGGAAATATTGATGTACAGTACAAGGTAGTAATCAGCCTAAAATGGGATGTTATGGGAATTTGAACCCACATTCAGACAGATGTGTTCAGACTGGGGCAGCTAGTAGAATGATCAGTGGAATGAAGATCTGTTGAGCAAGAAGAGACTAAAAAATCAGTGTTTAGTCAAGCAAAAGGAAGGCTGAGAGGGAATATGATTACCGTCTATAAATATATCAGGGTTAAACACCAGGGAGGGAGAAGAGCTATTTAAGCCAAAGCATGAATATTGGCACAAAACCCAAATGGATTCTTGAATAAATTTAGTCTGGAAATTAGAAGAAGGTTTCTAACCACCAAAACAATGAACTTCTGGAACAGATTTGCAACAAAAGTAGGGGGTAAACATATCAAACTACCATTAAGATGGAGCTTGAAAAGTTTCTGGAAGGGATTAGATGACACAGTTTCCTGTAATAGCAAGAAAGTGGACTCAGTGACCTAGGCAATCTCTTCTACTTTTAAGATCCTATACTTCGTTTTGCCGTGTCATTTTGTCTCCATAAAGACAAGAGATTTATCCAACTAAAACCCTCAAATGTTTAAAAATTAATAAAAATTATTTTGCATGTAGATTATGTTGTTTATTTAACCTCCCTGAAAATTATTTCAGAGGAATAATTTTTTGGGTATTACATTATTAGTTTTTACAGTATTGCAATGTCTTCTGTGGGAAATTGCCCAGTTTAGAACATAAGTTATTATTTACTTTTACCAAACTGAAATATAGGATGTAGCATTTGAAGGCATATTATATTATGAAATTAATAGTAATCTTATAGGATAGTGTATATTGTCTAATTATTTGATCTTTTGAAAGATCACTTTTGGTTAAATAAGCTGCAAATTAAACAGCAGAATGCAATCTGCTTATAGATAACATATTGATTTGTTCATAAATATCGTGAAATGTATATGTAGTTCAACAACCATAATGAAGACCACAGATAATATTTTGCACAAACCATTTTTTCGTTTTTTTAAAATTGTATGGGTTCTGTTATGTACAGTACAAACATACATAAATATATGGTATCATAGAATCATAGAGTGGATTGTGTTGGAAGGGACCTCGAAGACCATCTAGTTCCAACCCCCCTGCCACGGGCAGGGACACGTTCAACTAGACCAGCTTGCTTAAAGTTCCATCTGACCTGGCCTTGAACACCACCAGGGATGAGGCATCCACAACTTCCCTGGGCAACCTGTTCTGATGCCTCACTACCCCCACATAAAGAAATTTTTCCTTAGTATCTTTTCATTAAGAGCTTTAGTCTATAAAGAATAGCTGCTATGCCTAATGAAACCCACAATCTGGAACACTGATAGAGGGGAATATTACATAATAAAACCAAAATGATCAAGGTGTTACCAATCATAGGTGTTTTAAGATTCTACTTTGGTTGGTTGGTTGGTTGGTTTTGTCTTTTAATCTCTTTTCCATCCACCACTATTTCTTGAAGTTGTGTTGAGCAACCAACTAGTAGACCAGAATTCCATTAAGCCATGACTATGAGAACACATGTTCCATCAACGAATACAGTTTGTCCACATCTTTCTTCTTCATGATGGCCAAGCAGGATTGAGGCTAAATAGACAAAGAAGTGAGATTAAGGACAAAAAAGAAAGGAAATATTGGCAGAAATTGTAGGGGAAGAGAGTTGAGAAAAGAATAAAATAAATCAGACTGTGCAAAGCAGAGATTACAAACTTTGTGGGGCGGGACAGTATAGAAGCCAACAATGACACGTTTTTTGGGGTCACATACTTTACAAAAGATTGCACTTCATTTTCACTTTCACAGGTGGTGAAAACACACAGACATTTCTATAAACATAAGCTTTATCTACACTTCAAACACAATTTTTCCCAAGCTAATTTTCAAATCAGTTATAATAAACTGTGTTCTGAAGGGTTTCGTGAGCTTCTGCTTTCCAAGTGTTACATGTATGAAGTAGTGATAGACATCTTGTTCAAGTATTTCCTCTTCATTCCTTAGACTCTGTTCTAGACACCTGAACAATTAGGTTGATGCAGTCCAAAACAGTGTTTAGGCAGAAGAAGTCCTTCAGTCAAAGGAAGATGTTTCCTTCTAACTCTGGAACAAATGCCACTATTCTTTATCACAGAGAAATACTGCTGATAGCAGCAGGTAGCCTTAAACTGTGTTCATCCTGTTCTTAGAACATACTATGCATCACTTAAAGGTTGGCTTGGTAATGTTCTTAAGCTTTCTGCTCAAACATAAACTCTTCAAAACATATTTGATTACTCCTTCTCAGTTCAAATACAGTTGACTGCTTTTTGAGGCAATTTTACTCCATGACAGATAGAAGGATGTCACTCTTTGTTGAAGAAATGGTTGATTCAGCTTTGTTGAATTTATCTACCACCAGTCAATACATTTGACATTTTTTAGTGAAGTTGCTGACATCAGGCCTGTCCATGAAAGCAGTGGTGTGGAGCCTAAAAATATGTAAGTTTGAGGTCTCTGGCGTTCATGAAGAGATTTTGCTGCTTAGTGTTTGAGCTAATGCTAACTCTTTCAAACCATAAAAAGAAATCGCTCTATATGGATTATTCTTAAAAATAATCAGAATTATACATGGTTTTATAGATGAAGAGGAATTTACATAGGTGCCTGAACGTTTTTGTTCTTTTTCCTGATGTCAATTGAAAAAAACAAAGGAAAAATTTTTTCATTATTTTTGGTTATATTTGAACATACAAATTTAAAAATAGGGTTAGATGTCTACAGGGGTACAAGGGTTCTCTGGACTTATTAAATGTTTATATATAAATACATTTCAATACAGTTCCAAAATTGCAAGAAAAAACATTAAATTTTTTTTGAGCTGTATAATCTAAGACATTAATGTAAATCTTCTATTGCTACATAATAGTCCTAGATAACACCATTAGGTAATGTCTCTTGCTAGGGTAATGGTAATCCTTTGGTTACTTTTTTAAAGTGCGACAGGTTTCTTTTAATGTGTTATGAATTAGAAAACCACTTGTTTTCCACCATCCATCTCTGATGCATAAACCCTCTTGAATTTCTTTCCGAACTTCATCAGAATTTTAACTTAATGTGAATGGGATTCAATGTTGAAATTTCAACAGCTGCCTGCTCACACACATAGCTAGACAATGTGATGCTGTAGAACAAAGTATCAATTTATAGGGCAACTTGGAGGAGACCTTCAAAATGGGTGGGGATACATCTACATGGCACTTTCTTCCTTGGCAGGGATTGTTAGAGCTGTTTTGCCATCAGCTCACATCCTTTTTAGAAGGCATGAGCAAGGTGCTGCCAGCCCTGAGGTAACTCTCCCCCCTCACACCAAGTAGCCCTTCCCAGCTTCATCTGTTGAGTAGTATGTCGTGAAAAAAACCCCAACAAAACCCAACCAACCCTGAACAACAAAACCAAATCCACAGTGATTCCCATCAACAATATATAGTAAGAAAGTAGATGATTTTGGCTTGAGTTGTTGACTGGAGCCTGTGTCTCTGGGTCGGATCATTAGGAAGAAATTAGAGATATTGTTGTGACAATGGAAGATAAAAAATTTCTGGTCTCTCCTACGCATGAAAATTATTAGCCAAGCACATCAAGGATGGTGGAGAAAGGAGACAGCCCTTGAGTGACTCCTGCGCAACTCGAGAGGAAGGCTGTCCCGCGGGAGGCTCCGGGTTGGAAATGGCGCCAGCGGCTGAAACCCGGCTCCTCGCGCATACAACAGGCTCTGTATCTCCGAGGGACTCTGCTCCGCGTGGTTGACACAGATTGATCCCGGCTAGAGGAAGCAGGGCGGGTATCGCGCTCTCTCTCTCCCTCTTCTGGGCAGAAGAGGACGGGTAAATGGGCAGAGCGGGACGAGCGCGCCAGACGGGCGGCTGCGCTCTCCCGGTCCTCGAAGGAGCGGGCGCGAGTGCGATGGCCAGCGCGGGGGAAGGAGCCGCGCAGGGAAAGTGCGCATCCTCCATTTTGGCGGAGGGCAGGCGGAGAGTTGGCTCCCGGCGCCTGGCAGGACCGCTCGTCCCCACCCCGTAGCACTGCCTGGGGCACCCGGCTCCTCTTCCCGCGGAGAAG